CTTATCTGCTGTTCGTACAGAGACTAGTTTAATCAAAATTCATTTATACTAAGTACATTTTTCTTACATAATCATTGCAGAAGATTATTCAGAATTATTACTGTTTGCTTCTTTAACTTGTCATTCGATGTGTGAGATCTCACTTCTTCGACTTTATGTCCATAATTATTAAATGATATTGAATGGGAATTACTGGTTGAATCTACTTGACATTTTTTGGTGCCATTATTTTTTCTAGAACGTGTTCCATGTCTTCCTCTATAGGAAAATTGGGACTCTTCCGGGTAATTGGACGATATACCCTTGATGATTCCGGCTTATAGCAAATGAAAATATCAGAATTTGTCTACGTCATTCTAAACAAATATAACATTCGAATGATTGTACTTGACTGCGTGCACTGAGAATTTACTTGTCAATAATGTGTTAAGTCAAACGGTCAGAAGTTTCTGTAGAAGTTGTCGGTAATAGGTCCAAAGCTCCCTCAGCCAACTCACACACAAGTTTTCTTGTACGGAATCAATACAGCTAACTGAATAAACCAGGTTATGACTTGTCGCCGACTATTAGTTTTCTGATGGTCAGCAAACAGTCTGTAAGAACAAACCAAAGGCGTCGCGTGACACCATCTTGCTACAGAACCATCGACTGATTAAAAGACTAAAAGTCATGGTATTTTTCACGGTCACGTTCTCCCTAAAAGTTATTTCAGAATGGGTTACCATGCCGTCAAATGGTGCTGTTCAATAACTATTTAAGAAAAACGGATATCCATTAGGATCCTTTATCAAAGATATTCCATTCTATTTTGGGATATCCTGTACTTATAGAAGACTAACAAAGACAATTTATATAAACTTAGATCCAGATGTTTATTTGTAAAGGAAAATTGTTGCACACACTTCTTAAAGCGATAACAACAGATAGTAATACACCATTTCCCGATATTAACGGCTTGTTCGACCAGAATTGGCGTTCAACGATAATGGCGATGCTAAAGTACAAAAGCGGCACAAACAGCTATTGAAAGGACTACCCGGAATTCAAACAGCTGTTCTTCTCTTCTCCTCTGTGATGGTATTGTGAAGCTATGCCGCTGTGTTCTGTACAGCTTTTTCAATTAAGCTTCAATAACTGACTGTGTTTACCGTCGCTTACATAAATAACTATAGCGACGGTGCGTAGAGCATCACGACTGTTGTATACCGGAAATCGTTATTTGTTCAGCTAGATAGCTAAACAAAGCGTCCGATAAATGAGACAGGAAGCTCCATTTAAGCCGTAAAAGCTCAGTCAGCATCCTCATATAGTCCACGCAGCAACGAGAATTCATTTTAGAAATGCTCTTGTTGGACATTATGGAACGAACACTTTATTTCCCACTATTGGCGGATGTTTCACGAACTGTGATTTAGGCCCGCATCGTCAGTCGTCCCTACAATTGTAGGGCGCGTTTATGGCCTCCTTGATTGTCATACTCGTTTCTCTCCTTCAAAAATTTCTAGATTACACTTGTCCCGTGTCAGCGTCAGCGCTCTCCTATTGTGAAGATATGTTTTCTTTTTAAATTGTAGGAAATTTCAGGCTGATAAAACATGATATAACTCAAAAGCAAGCACAATTGGATGCAAATAGATGTTTGTGACATAACCTCAAAATCGAGCGCTGACACGGAGATGTAGAAAACTATGACAATCAAGGAGGCCATAAAGGCGCCCTACAATTGTAGGGACGACTAACGATACGGGCCTTAGTAACTAATATTTCTAAATCACGAATCATGACTTTTCCCAAATATCATGAAAAACCGTGATCTGATCACGATATCACTAATATCTGAATGTGTGGGAAACGCGGATGCGCGCTACCCGTTACGGTCGAAGATCGTATACGAAGCAATACCAGATGAAATGCAAGCTATAGCGTGCCTTACAGTTTTTGACACTTTTTTGTATTCATTACTGAGACTTTTGCCCTTATTTTTTCTTTATTAATATTATCGCAATATTTTCTAAGGATATCTGTAAGTCAGTATACTTATAGCCTCTTCTTCTCTAGATCAATACCATCAATTTAGATATATAATATCTACTGTTTATGCTTATTTTTTTCTATGCACTGTTGTAGTCAGAATTTCAATATTTGTATCCCAATCTCATAGATCTCCGCTGACAAACCCGTTGAGGAAGCAGTTTACCTCCTCTTTGACTTCATCATCGCTCGGAAAGTATTGGCAACAAGTTTGTTTCACTTCAATTTAAAAATTTTTTAAACTTTGGCATTTTAGAAAATTTTGAAAATTTACAAATTTTGAAAACCGAAAATCAATGTTAAAGGAACATTTGAAGGCCCAATACTTTCCGAACGATGATAAAGTCAAATAGAAGGAAAAACGCTTCCAGCACAGACTGACGGCGGCGAATGTCATTGGAATACAAAAATTTGTATACCGTCTAAAAAAATGTTTAGAATAAATTATAGCTTAAAAAAACTAAAAAAATATGCTTTAATAACAAATCGAGCTAAAAAATAAAAAACAGTTTTCAGGTATAGGAGAGTTTGTCTTACTAGAAAATCCAACAATCACGTGTAACTAATGAATAAGATCAATATGAAAATTAAGATATTGACAACAATTGTATTCAAATGTTAGATAGAATATAAGTAATTACACCTTACGCTTATTTACTATAATTGATGTTTCTGTTACGAGTATTATCTTAATTTTTATATTGATCTTATTCCAAATCCATTCATCATACTTGATTGCTGGACTTTATATTGCAGTAATAGAAGCTTGAAAATTATTTTATACTTTTTAGTTCGATTTGCTATTAAAGCGTTATTTAGTTTGTTTTCTGATGTTTTAATCAACGACAACAATCAAAAGCTTCAATTTTTTGTCATATTTATATTTGTCATTAAATCTAAATTTACTTGCAATTTTTTTTCAGATTTCGTAATTTCCAAATTTTTTTTCCAATTTCCATTTTTTCAAAATTTCCAAATCTTCAAATTATTTTCTAAATATTTGAATTTCCTAGTTATTTTCCAAATTTTCAATTTTTTTTCTAAGAATATTGTAGTGTCATCGGCGCTTGACCCCGGCGCAAATTTTCAAGTTAATCAACTTCTTGAAATTGGTCAAAATTAGGTTGAAAGATTATATAGGAAAATAGAGCAAAGCTTCATCTTTCAACGATATAAATTTCTATAAAATAATTAATATTTATAAAATTAATGGGAACCTTACTTTTGGATCAATCTTCGTATGAGCTCGTGACGATTCATTCAAATGCCCAAATTATAAAGTACCCTTAATGAGCACATGTACGGTCAGTTATTTATGCGTCTTAATAAAGTTACACCAAAAATACCATATTCTACATATACACACAACATAAATATCGAACGACATTAAAAATAACTATAACTTCATATCCCACTGGGACTGAAAAACCTGCACTCGTCACCGTGCGATCCGGAAAATCACCCATAGGTATTTGAAAGGCCTTACTACGTCACACATTAAAATCACTGATAACAAAAATCAACAAATTTTCAAAAATAACGATATCGTCCATCTCAACTTCCTACACTGCACTTTCGTGATTCAAAGTCAGGCTATCAGTATCCGTTTATATATCTCCATCTCCCTCATACATACACATGCAACCTACCCCTGTGTGTGAACATTTATTCGCTAAGCTCAGACATACGTTTTTTAGTTGCGTGTCTCCGTGTCGAAAACTTTGTTCGTTACGTATGAGTGCCCTTCAATCACATTTGTCAGAGTAACAACTTACTTGACATCGGCGTGCAATTCGAGTTGTCCTGTTATCTGTCTTGAACAGATAATGAAAACAATGGTCCCCTGTTACCCACTCGATGCGTACTGGAGAGAGTAGCAGATGCAACGAAGAGTCGGGGCAGTGTTCCGCCCATGGTAAGGATACTCGGTCTGTTTAGTTATTTCATATGGTGTTGATAACGTTACCGCCAAGAACGGTGACTACAACTATACCAATAACAGCCTTGTTCTCTCCTCCGCCACACTACTGATTGTCAGTAAAAAAAAATAAGAAAAGAAATGTGACATGTGGAATGAACTATTTGCACTCTAAAAAGCACCTAGTCTGCAAAATAATATTTCGTCGGTTTCTTTTTGACGTTTTTTGGATTTTTTACATAATACCCTTGTCTGTCATACTATCTGCTGACATTCTTGGCAGTGTACCGTTTTAATATCAAATTCATAAACACATAAAATAACATGAAATATTATTATTGAAAATTGATGTAGTGGTGATGGTTCTATGTGCAACGCATACCCAAAAAAAAGAATGGAATAATAAGTACTAACCGTAACACAGTTTAAAAGCTTTTGCTGTGGCTAAATCTTTGTTACACAAGGTCTTCTGAAAATAGGTCTCTCCTTGTTAAAAACAACTACACTTGAAATGATAAAGCTCATATACGAAAAACAGCGGCGAAAGAGATAAAAATAAAAAAGCGCCAACCCGTTCATTTTATAAGAAAATTTCTTATATTTACTTATATATTTAATATATGATAATAAATGCTTTTCGAGGGTGTCGTCGTCATTTTGTACTCGATATACAAAAACTACGCGGCGTTGGATGGAAACGTCCAGGAAACAAACACAATCGCTCACTCACTGTAAACTAACACTAAATCTACAAGTTCGTAATTGTTATAGATATATACCATTTTCGGCTTCTTCAAATCCGATTTTTATAAACAAACCGCTCAATCGGCTTAATCGGGACAACTGGATGGGTCCACCTCGTATTTCACATTTTTGACAAATGCGCCTATAAGAAATTTTGCAAAAACTATGCACTGTTTAACCGTAATTCCCAATTTTCAGAACAGATATCTGGTATATTGTAAAAATTGTTTAAATTAATTGAGAACTATGCTGCTTACGAGTATATGAACATTCAACATCATTATTTGGTTAAAATAAATGATTTTGTTGCAGATAAAGCAGACGAAAAACTACACAGGCGATCTACCGTCCGGATGGGCATCCGAGTAGTTCAAAGGGCTTTCGCTCCTCCTTCCCCTAACCTATACGTGCCTGGCGGGACTGGCAAAACGTGCAGGGAAAAAGCAAAAATGAACAAAAAAACGCTGCTCTTCGGCTGCAAAAGTGTCCCTGTACAAATTAAAAACCCAACGATGGAGAACGATCAAGGTAATGGTATTATACTGTCAAGTATACGATTACTCGATCACTCAAAAATATCTTAGGAAGATATGATCACTTCAAATTTCAAAGAGAAGATAGTATGTATATATTTCATAGAAACACAAGGTTGTTGAATTTCTAATCAGCTGAAATCTAACCTTCGATCTTTAAATACTGCCTAAGATCTGGATTACGCACCAATAATCATTGTTGCTTGAATTGTTAAAAGAATAGACCCGTCTTTGCTTTTTCGTTTTGTGAATCCAGCAAACATTATTTCATGTAGTATGATTATTTCAAATAAAATATCCTTGGAAATGTAAATTACCAATGCCTGAATGCCAGAAACAGTAGCTACATGCAAACTTAAGGATAAACTAGATTAGATATCTAAATAAGAATACAGTTTAATTGTCAGTATTCTATGCCAAACTTTTTCACCTATGCTAATAGAGGCCATTTTATATCCAATATACTAAGTGACATATAAATCCGAACACCCAGTTTAAATGGTTTTACTTTAATAAAAGTTGGTGAATGTGTTTATCTTACTGTAAATAACAGCCTTATCAGTTGGACATTCCGGTTTTTATACTGCTTTTTTTTAATTCACTAACGCACTAAAAATGAATATTTCAGCCGCAGTAAAGAATCAACGTTGGCGGATTTTGGTTCTTGACATCCTCTACGATCGGTTACGATGCCTAGAGTACGGAGATCTGTACGATTTCGTCAACTTAGTGAGTTTGATAGGGGCCGTATAGTGGGACTTCGGGAAGCTGGACTTTCTTTTCGGGCAACTGCAGTTAGACTGCAAAGAAGTGTAGACACTGTGGTTAGGTGTTCTCAGGATGGCTTCGAGAAGGCCGTACGCAAAGAGCAAGGGGCACTGGACGCCGCCGTAGAACAACAGATCGTGAAGATCGCCGCCTAAGATTATTGGCCTTAAGGGACCGTTTCTCCACTACCAGGTCCATTGCAAATGAATGGTTTGCAGAACACGGAAGACCTATTGGCATGCGAAGTCTTTACCGACGAATGAGAAGTTTTTTCTTGTTTTCATACCGGCCACACTGGGTCCTCCCTTTAACTCGCGAACACCGACGTAATCGCCTTGAGTGGTGCAGACAACGGTCACTCTGGGATCAGGAATGGAACAGTATTGTCTTTAGTGACGAGTCTCGATTTTGTTTAGGCATGCACGATGGTCGTGCCAGGGTTAGAAGGTGACGTGGTGAAAGGAGGAATCCACAGTTTTTTGTTGAAAGACATGTTCATCACACTGTTGGAGTTATGGTTTGGGGTGCTATAGCTTATGGTTCCAGGTCACCTTTAATCTTCATCAGAGGTAACATGAACGCGCAGCGGTATATCCACGTAGTTCTAGAACCCCATCTTTTACCCCATCTTGACACCCTGGCAGATCCAACTTTCCAACAAGATAATGCCCGACCACATATTGCAAGAGTCACAATAGACTTCTTTCAATATAATGATGTCACATTGTTACCATGGCCACCAAGATCTCCCGACTTATCCCCAATTGAGCACGTGTGGGATATGATGGGTAGGAGATTGCTCAATTTTGCAACGTCCTCCTCAGACTCTAGAAGCACTTCCAGAGGAGTTGGTGGTTGCCTGGAATGAGATACCACAGGAGGACATTGACCACCTGATCAGAAGCATGCCTAGGCGCGTTGGAGAATGCGTAGCACATCAGGATGCATCCACACATTATTAAAGGTCAAAGGGCTTTAAAGCAGTGCATTCATTTTGAAATTTTTATCATTTACTTATTATGCTTCATAAAGTACTTATACAGAATTTTATTAAAATAAAGCCATTTAAACTGGGTGTTCGGATTTATATGTCACTTAGTTAGTTTAGCATCCTATGCAAAGGGTCAGAGCCAATTCCACTTTAAAAATCTGCTGAAAAAACGGTTTTACTTTTGAGATTTGGTTTAAGTAAGATATGAGGCAAGAAAATACCTGTGTCCAAATTCACAGCATAACTCTAGAATAATGTCCAGCAAGTTGCATACTGCGTGTAACAAAGGTAAAGGAACGCCTATGTATTTTTTCAGGTAACGCATTTTGAAATAGGTAAACTTTGGATAAGGTCAGAGTGGCTTTGAGACTCACCTCTAAGATTATTTCAAAATCAATTTTTAAAATGCAGCCTCCCATTTTGATATTGGCAGTCGAAAAAAAAGAACATTTTACGTCCAAAGATCAAATGTGTCAGGCTAGAAAACATGTCTAGAAGTTTAGCAGGATTATTTATACAAAAAATAAAGGTCATAACTTTACTCACGTTTAAAAAGGACTTCAATAATGACCATGGTTTTGGCTTCGATCTTCATCTCAAGGTCATAATAGTACTTGAGAACGTATTAAAATATAGAATTTTAAATTGCCAGTGTCAAAGAAAGTGATTTCCAGTTAAAAAATAAGTTTACCTTCAAATGACTTTGAAGGTGGAGGTTAATTCAAGGTCACCATTGAAATATTTAAAGTTACTGAAGATTGTTTTCATGAATAATCCTGCTGAGGTTCTAGAATGTTTGCCTAGGCTTGCACAATTGACCATTACAGGTGTCCTTGAATTTAGATTTTAATACATATTCATATACAAGGTGTGGCAAAAGTACCGGAACGGCTCGATAACTCTTTGGAAATACATTTTCGGGGGAAATGCTTCAAATTAAAGGTATAGGATTATCCTTCAATTATCGGTCAGTGACCTTGATTGTAACCTTAAAAGTAATTTGAAGGTCAATTTAAAATTTCTAATGTGAGCCCGTACTTTTGACTCCGGTAATGAAGCGAACGGAAAATTTGGGGTTCACACATAACGAATGATTCTCCATTTGACTTTGAGTGATCCTCGAGGTTAAACTACTACTAATGCTGGATATTGATAACTCTTCGGAACGCATTTTAGGGGAAAGTGGTTCACATAAGAGTTGTGGGATTTTTCCTCAGCTATCAAAAGGTGACCATCGATTCAATCTTGAGCTTGAGGGTCATTTGATGGTCAACCAAAAACATTTATTTTTGCCACAGCCTGCATACGCAGTGTCGGTGTTAAAAAGGGACTGTGAATTTGAGGCAACACCAACTTGTTCACAGTTAGTGAAGAAGTGACCTTGACCCTTTTCAAAAACATATTACCTAGAAAATTACAGAGCCCTTCCGATAGGCCGACATGGCATTACTGACGCTCCTTTCTACCTGAGAGTAGCTATAAAAAATTTTCCCTGTCAATAAAAATGACTAAAAAACCGTCCCTGAATTCAGAGATCCTATTACGCTTTGATTAACAGATGAGCCGTGAACAACAATATTAATTAAATCTGGGTTCCATAAAAGGCAGATATTCTAGTCAGAAAGTAGCGAAATGCCGCCTGTCTAATATCTAGACAATAGCTGAGTTGGTCAGAATGCATCTTTATTATTAGACTGTAGGGTGGTACACCATTGTTGTGTACTAGGCAAGCGTTCGTCAGTTGAGACGCTAGAAACTTAATTGGTGGAAAATAGATATCTTGGTGAGATAAGCGGATTATGGAGTGTGCGGAGCGATAAGAAATAAATTCAGAAGAAAAACAACTTGGGCGACCTTGGAGGTCTACTGGTTGTTGGTTGTAGATGCCGCCCTCACCCCCCAAGGCGTTCAAATCACCTCCTGGAGTATAGCGGGCAGCTAGGTAGCGAGTGCTTTACTTTACAAGTTCCAAGTTACCTCTTTGATGGTTTTCATGACATTTCTGCGAGTACTTCTGCGAGTCTGTCAGAAAACTGAATACGCCACGGAAGTGGCGAAGCGTCGGCGAGAACAAGAAAACCCTTAACATATTTATATCGTACGAAATGTTAAATAAGAAATGGGAAACTTATCTCTTTGCCAACAAACAAGAAAGATAAGAAGTTAGAGACATGTGGCTCCAACAATCATTATGTAAGAAATTTGAACAAAATAAGAAAGCTAAGAGCTTCCTTTTCTACTACTCAGTTGTTTTAACAACGCTCTCAGTGACAGTAAATCCTCTATGGACAAAACAAAATAAGCTCCTGGTCGATATATTGGATAAATATAAATATATCATTGAAAATAAGGTAACTGAGCATGAATCTAAAAAGCCTGCAACCAGTAGAGCAGTTGGATACAACGGCTGCCTATAGTCAGTTTTTTTACTTCTCGCGATTACGCTGTAACTGGAGGAAACAAACACACTGTCATTTTGAATATTTTATTGCACAAATAAACCAAATTGTCCCAATTCTATCATCAAAATGCCGAATAGACATGACCAGCAAAGAAAAATCTCTCTGACATCGATAATAGTTTGTGAACGTTCCTCAAGAAAGAGTTTGTATTTCACTGCACCCATAATTCGCTTGGTTTAAACTAGGTACTGTCCCGATACCTTTGTTCTACTTAAAGCAATAATCCATGAAAAAAAAAACGAAGCACTTTTATTTCCAAACGGTTTATCCAGATCTTAGCAATTTAATCAGACAGAAGTCCCGATAAAAATCCAATTCACAGGAATTCTGTTCAGTTTTTTGCTTCGTCAACTCTCACAAGTTCTTTTATGTTTCCAGTTATATCCAGGTCCGCCGAGACTGTGGCAAACACCGAAACTTCGATAAACGATAAAAATTGGCTTCACGTACAAAAAACCGGTGTCTTTGCTGATCCCACGATATTTCAAAGTAAGTACATAATACATAAAAGAACACTTCATGCAAGTTTAATAGTATGCTTTCTTTGGTTTTTTGGATCACTCCGTTTATATACTTGTATACAACAAACACGTTTGAATGGGAGCTGTGAAAAATCTCAGCATCTATAAAGGAGTTTTTAGGCCATAAAAATAATTCGAATTTCAAGTTGACTGCATCTCTGACATCTTTGCATTTAGATATTTTGGAACATATCTATCTTAAACTTTCATCAACATGTTTCTTTTTTGTTTTATTTTATTATTATTATTATTATTATTATTAAGTAATATAAGTACTATAAACTCAAACACAATACTTGATAGTGTACTAACAAATGCAATATACAAGTGGATAATGGTAATACTTCTGAAGGAGGCAGTTAGACAAGCATACTTTATTCGGTGGCAAGTAGACCACCTCTAATCTAATTGAGATCCGTAACTATTCGATAGACCATACCTCCTGAATACATGATAGTTACAATATTTTCGTTGATTGTCCAGAGACGAGAGACCAAGCCAGGCCATGCTGATGAGTAGCTAAGAAGCACGAAACTGCTAAAATAGGCAAGTGAAAAAATGCCACTTGATACATAGTACATGTATGCCGAATTTCCTTAAAATATCTATAGTGGAATTTATAGATATTAATGATAAATGACTAGCATATAGTCGAGGAATTTTAAGAAATCGAAACTTTTGAACGAAAGGGACTAAAGAAATAAAAAAGACGGTATCTAAATGTCCGATGTCCGGGCTTTCTCACGCAAAAATCGTTAGCCCCGTTATCTTCGGAGAGATAGAAACTGAATATCGAACAGCACGGTTGAAACCCAAAAAAGGCCAATATTCCGATGTTTGAAAATTGTTAATTCGAAACAAGTGCCCTAAACGGTAAAAACTCTTTCTCGGTAATTTATAGTATTCATCGAGATGTACAAAATGGGCTATGCGAAATTTCTTTTCTCTTTGCCATAGAGAAGTTATCGGCTTTTTAACGAACCGTTCTTCTTTCAGGTTTTTTTTGAAAATCCCTCGAAAAACACGTTTTAACACGTTCTTCGTCCTCGTACCTCGACGGTTCATAGTCGCTCATAAAGCGCCGAGTTTCTAGTTTTCGAAACGGTATCGATTTCCGTTAAAAAAACTAAAAATCGAGCTGACGTTGAAACACCCCGACACAAATTCGAGAGGGTAAATGAAAAAAAAACAAAAGGTTACCGCTTAATATTGTCGATTCATTTTTGAAAGCTTTTCCAGTCTAGATCTCAATAGTTAAGACGTTCGTATTAAGTTGTCTTCTTAGAATGGACCCAAAAACCGCCTCCTTAAATACTGGCATTCAATTAATAAACACCCTGTATAAGATGTGTTGGCTCATTGCGCTTACAAAAAAAACATACGTAGAATTCTCATTATAGTTGTGTATTCATTTGTTCAGCTTTTTTCAATCTGAACGCAGTGGCACAAAACTTGCTTGTTCATGTTTTGTGTCTGAAGGTGTTATATTATAGATTTGGAGCAGGAAGTATTGCGACTATGCGCGCATGTAAAAATAAGTTGAATAATCCAAAATGGGTGCATTTTAGACAATAGTGCTAAAGTTCTGAACCTTTTGAACCTTTGGCAACCTACAATGAAGATAAAAGGAAACATGGGTATGAAAGTTAAAGATATATATATATATATATAAATTTCATAGAAGCGATCAACTTAAAATTTGGGTTATTCTCAGTGCCCAAAAACCCTCCGAATGGGTCAAGCGCTATTTAAACTAACCGGGGGCAACCATTTACATTAAAGCGAACTTGCTAGATGCGGTCACGATTTGATGGCAAGAATGAATTTCAATTAATCGTTTTACAAAAGAGATGGATGTACATACATCCGCAAATGAGGAAAATTTAGTTGAAAAAATGGTGAATGTCGTTACTACTAAATGTCTGCAATTCCTTTTTCTATCCTTGAGCCACACCACGCAGGCCTAAGGCCTAAATACCCGTGGGTACCAGAGGGCCACAGGGGAATAGATAGACTCTAGCGGGAGAACACGTGAGCCAGGTGGTTGGTGTCTCTACACTTACAATCGCAAACAACATCCATAGCTAAGAGAAAATTTCTCTTTTTAATTTGTTTTGTCAACTGAAGTTCAAGGAAATGTAAAGTTAATATAACATCCTATTCACACAGATTTTTGCTTGTTTTCATATTCTCTTTTAAATAATTACAAGATGGGATTCCGATTTTGGGCACTATCTATTACGAGCCCCTTCCACTTCCCAACTATTGAAATCTGAGTTTTTTTCTTATCAAACACAAATAATAAAAATGTAGCAGGGTGTTATAGGTTTAAAATATTAACAATGAATATTTTGATAATATATAGTAGAAAACACCAACTTTATCACTCCCTAAACAAATTTTCTGCATAAAAATAACACACGTTGCAATTACAGCATATCAACCTATTTTCATTTCAATGCAAAATAAATCTATAACGCATAGGTGGCTGTGAAAAATAAAAACCATGACAATTGTTTTTATTAATCACAGCTGTCAGAATATGTTTAAAATAGTTTTGGGTAGTTAACGTTTTCAAAATGGGTAGAGGAAAAGTTATTAGTGAGAATGATGCTTCCTCAATAACTGGTTTGAAGCCTCTTATGCACCAACGGACGGTGGGTATTGGACCTTTTTGATCGGCATGCCTAAGAAATTGATACGATCTCTTCTCCATGATTCTGTTACATTTTAGACCTGCTATATCCCAGGTACCCAGACTTTTGCTTCTCATTCTATCTAGACCTGAACTACCAGGTCAAAACTCCTTAAAAAGTAAAGATTCAGAAACTTCACCAACAATTTATTCGACGTTTTTGAAGTTGCAAAAATAGTAGATGTGATCATTAATCGAAGTCATTTTATCAATTAGTGTGTGCTATCAATACAAAATGCCGACAATCCCATTTCCCAATGTGACAGACACAACAAAAACAAGAAAATGTGACACAAGTCTCGAAAAATCAGTGCACCTTTATTATATTTTATATTTCAGGAGTCTAACAATTCGATTCTTTATTTACTCTAAATAATACACTGAAGTCAAAGAAACACAATGTAGACATTACTTAATCAAGTCTGTTGCGCCGTCTTATTTTGGGCATGTGCATATATTTTCTCTGGGTTCATTATTTTTGAAAATTACAGTTGCGTGTTAGTCTTTGAGTATTTTAGGAGAGAATGGTGGAGCAAATAACGTTAAGTGAATCGTTGCATGTTTCTTGAGAAACTGGTCAGTTAAGGTAGTCAGTATTTTCGAAACTGCTCGTAAAGTTGCGGCGAAAATCATTGCGAATTGTTATTTTCTAGATACTACAAGCTTGACAGTGCCATCTCCTACAATCACCCAAGTCAGACGAAAATCGATCCTCAGAATAGGCGATAATCCAGATGAAGAAAGATGCAGTAGTCCGGCTAGGGTATCGTTCGAAGGTAAGAAGATACTCAATGGCAATACAGATGAAGACAAACACAGCCACGAAGATAACAAGGAAGAAAAAGATAGGAGTGGGGACAATGGAATTGATAAGCAGGATGAGGAAGATGTGAGTACATTTTAAATGTTGAATTGTTAATGGTATTGGGCTATTGCTTTAGGTTGAGACCACACTGGGTGTGCCTAGTTAGCCTGTGTAAATGTTGACGACGGGAGGCATGTAGGCGTTTCGACTGTCATCGTGCATGTGTCGTGATAACACGTAAAAACTCTTTCCTCGAATGGCAATCCTGAATTATTAGAGTATATTGATGGTAGCTGCGTTCTTTCAAAAGAGATACACTGTAGATTCGCCTAACGACGACGGCCAGAAAGCGACATACTCCTATGATAAAACTCAAGGCTAAAGTCAACACGTTAGTACTCTTGATATTGATCCAACATAAGCACAGGGACACGTTGTAAAAAATTCAGCTGATTCTCTTAACTTCATATTTTCCAGGAAAGCACTAAAACGTACGTCGTTATATTTATAGTAGCTTATTTCACCACCTAGGATCCTAGGCATCTTAATATCGTTATCATTAAAGCTTACTACCTACAGTGTGGTCTCGGCCTTGGAGTTATCAAGTTTAGAAACATAGTCTGCTACATAACCGGAAGAGAGTATCAAAAAGGTAGATAGCAGCATACCCGCAACTACCTGCGATAACAGTATATATACAGTTCTGACATAATATTTGAAAAACTGGCGGGAGTGATATCAAAGACTAGCTTGTGTAAATTTGGTGAATGCTCTAGCAGAAATAAGCGTTCGTTTCTCTTGCGCCAGAAACTGATTGATTTGTGGTTTGTTCGGAACCTGTTTTGCAAATTATGGTAAATTCATTCTTCAAATTAATCGAACCACAAAACTTTATTGGAATCTGAAAAAGATAGCTTTATTCAAAACCACAACTACGACAACTAGTTCATATTAGACGAAAATACCCCTGGTTTGCGAAATAATTGTAAAGTCTGGTTTTATTGCTGCAAGTTGTTCAAGAAGGGAAAACTTCTTATTCGACAACAAAGAATGAAAAAACGTTTTTTGTTTTTGGGATTCAGAGAGTGTTGGAAGGAACGAAAAAACTCTTTATATAACATTTTTACGTATTTATGAGACCTACAAAATGAGACCACACGTAAAAAGATCCTAATAGCAAAAAAGGTATGGCCCAAAAACCGAGGCAAACTACAGGTTTTGGCACGCGTTGGTAATGCGATGATGGTTTCTTGCAGATACTTGAAATTCGTCAAATCCGAAGGCTTCTTACTTCTAAATAACCACAACAAAATTCGAGTAGATTGGTCAAGTAGTTTTTGAGAGTTTCTAATTGTTTATCCCAAAACACCTGTTTTCCAGCTATCATTACTAGTTTATTGAGCAATATACAGGGTTAGTTCAAACGGCATTTCATAGCAAAATACACTAGTTTACCTTGCCTATATGAATCGCAAACCATTCCGGAAGATAAATGTTATTTTTATGCAAAAAAGGAAGGGTTACGTTTTTTCTTCTAAACAAATTCAAACATTTTGTATTTGTGAGTAATGCGCAACAAAAGATGATAGACACATCCGCTTTGTTTTAAAATGCGTATAGTATTCGAATATCCTAGCGCATTTGTTCAAAATGGCATCATACAATTGTAGGAACGACTGACGATACGGCCCTTAGTGTCGTTTGAGGATTTTAAACAAACAATAACGATTCCTTGACGAACGTTCAATGGAGGAAGTACGCTTTACTCGTTACAAAAATCCATCGACTAATTTACAGAGTGCGACTAAAATAATTTTGAAGCTGTATAAATACGCTCAAACTATCAAACGTACCTTACAAATGGAATGCTAGTCGCCTATATTCATTCAGCTCCGCTGTGTGGGTTTGTTATTTAATATAAAATAAAATAGTCACATTTTTATCACTATTTTACATTATTCACTAAAAGAAAAATCTATTTCACATCGATGATTGAGGCTAGGGGAAGCGACAAAATTATGTTTGGCGAAGGCAACACAAGGTAGTCTTTTTTGCCTGAAGTTGACTAGTCATTGTTCAAAGCACACAAACTCAAAGCATAGTATGACGGTATACGCAACCTACACCTCTGTAAGCCCTTCCCTTGCGGTATAAGCGGTACACTGACCCTTCAGAAAGGCGAAGTTTTAGATGGTGGGTTGGTATTTAATGTGCGTTACATTTCAAAAACATAGATACCCTTCCTCTCTTGGAATATTGCAAATCCTGAATACCAAACCGCAGTTATACTAAAGTTGGAGAAAGTTTGGAAATGGGAGTTAGCAACGGATTATAAATGTATTCGCATAACCTCAGAACCTGCGTTGATATATTGGAGGAAAGTAACAGGTCACCGACACCTCACCAAAGGTTTACAAGCCACCATGCAGAGTGATTCGGATGAAGAAAGTATAAATGGAGTGATTTCAGCTTTTTCAACGTAAAGGAAGTTGCAAGACCTGCCCAGCAAACTTCAAGTACAAAATTTTTCGCCGAAACCGTAACTGGACGCGAAATATTAAAACTCCTGAATCTTTTCCTGCAGTTTCAACCACCACTGTGGCTATTTTCAAGTACAAAAATTAAAGCGAAATTACTACAAAAGGATTTAAGTGTACCTACGATTTAAAAAAAAAATTCGACACACAAGCGAAAAAGATAGACTTGAAATCTGGATATAAGAAATAGCGTCAAGAAGGTTGACACTGCACTTAACACACAACAGTGTCATCAGTTCATCATTTATTACATTTGACTCAAGTACGGCCTTCTAAGAAAAAAGTTAGCTATGATGCACAGGCCCATACAATTAGCCCATAGTCCACATTCGACAACGTTGAGATCAAAAGTTTTTTCTCTGACCTACCAACAGTACCGACTATCTGGCAACGTTGCTGTGACTAACCTTGCCACTCGCCAGAGACCCATCTCATGGTTGAGACATCGATCAGACTCTGATGCAGCTATATGTACGTTGGTTGGGTTGCCTAGTACGCGTGTATTGAAAATATGTCTCTAAGATTCTAGGTTTTAAGGGCCTTGGCATAAAAGTAACCTTATCTCGGAATTTCATTAAAATGCAAACAGTAGTTTCCAAGATATAGCGGGGCCAAGGATTAGTAGACAAACAGACAGACCAACGGTAATGAGTGACATCGTTTTTCCGTTACATACGCGTCACATTTGCAGTGATTATAATACTTCCTCGCCAGTTGGTGTGAAAAGGAATAATCCATTGCAGTTTTGTCTATGAGGATTAATACCCCATTATCCTCTCACTGCAAGCGACTCGAGGCACAAATAAGCAAAATATATCAATGAAGTCTGAATGTTTACGTGTCGATACAGTCATTACCTTCGGAGATGTAGTTGCGTGCCAACATGCACTTACACCAACGATGTTCAAACTCTAATGGATCCCGTCTCTCAATACCTCGTCAAATCGAATTTGTTCCGTTCAACTTGTAACGACAACGGCATAGCCTGCGAAGCAGCAATGGACGGATATTCCACGTAACATATCAAACGTTTAGTCTCGAACAAGTTAGTGAAAGCTCAACTTGTAAAAGTTTGCTTTGGAGTGGATTCCAATAACATTAAATTTTAACGACCAGGTTCCAATAAAGATGGCAGACCCTATTGAAATGCAATTTCACGCCAGCTTGTCAAAGGTCGAATATATGGGATTTATATTGGAATTTCGAATAAAACTGTGAAAAAGTGGTTGTATTATAATAAGGGTACTTTCTGAACCTAACATTATGTTTTTGAGCATAAAAATCATAGTAACACTCATATATTTCACTGTTTGTTATCAGTTTACAAATACAGGCGTTAATGAACCGACCAATGAAAATGACATAAATAACAGGCTGATTTTTTAGATATTAAATTTAATAGCATGTTTTGGATGTCTGTCAATGCACGGCAATCTCGAATTTGTTTATATTTGCATAAAGAGTGTTGACACATATACATATTATTATACTTACATATCAGTTGATATATGCAGATCTGCCTTTATTTTGCAAGAAAATAGGATATAAAATGGAACAAATTTATTTTAAATTTATGGTTTCTAAATTTCTTCACAGCATTCAAAATAGCATCTTAAAACACTCAAACTTCTGTATCCCTACACCGCCGTGGTGCATAGAGATCAAAACATCTCAAATATAGTGTGTTGAAATGTCAATTGTCCGTTATTTTTTGTTTCAAATAAGAAAAATTTGTGTACTCGGTGGAAAAAGAAAAAAAAAGCACCGACCTGCTGCAAGTTTAGGTTAGTAAGAGTTTCCGTTGCTCTGTGCCCAGGTCTGAAGCAAAAGCTAATAGCACACCGTTGGTCGAAATTAGATCTCCAAGCCCTGCGCCTCCAGGGTTGCCAGATCGACAGCTACGTTGCCAACCTCGTCACCTAATTTACAGACCTCGTATGTATGGATATCGAAAATTCTGAATAGTTTTGTACCAACTAAGATGCATTCCTTAATTCTATTTGTTTGAAACAATGAAATTACATGTGATATCGAATCAATGTCATAATTCAAAAAGATGTATGTATTTTTACAGAAATTTCGTAGATATGTCACGGAAAATACCGCTATCTCTGTGACTATCGTACTAGCAATGCCGCTTTAGTCGGAGATAGACGGTTATTAGATCAAGGTTGGCCGGAACTGAACTTTATTGAAAAATAAAACTGCTTGGTGGAATTTCCGTCGCCTTGGTTTATTTTAGGAAAACTTACTCATTAGAAAATTGTGTTAACCGGATAAGCGGACGTTTCCAAACTTCCGTTGAAATGTATGCAAACAAACTTTGCGCCATTGTACTCCCGTATTAAAGGGTAGCATAACCTTCATTAAAAGTTTTCAATTAAAACTATATGTATGTTTGCATGGGGAACTTTACATCGATTACGTCCAACCGTTGATGGAGGTTAATAAGGCACAGGAAAACGTAGTTCATGTGTGTGTGTGTGTCCCTGTTTAACCTACTTCCACAAGAGTATCTACGTCCGGCACCACTGAGCCATCGATCCTCTACCCCTTCTCATTATAGACAAGAAAGGGGTCGAAACGTAAACATCATCCTGTTTGGAGTCAAGAAGATTAGACTACATTCTGTTTTTATTGTAGAACATGGGTTGAATTTGAAGATATTATGAATGTCTTGCGTATTCTAGTCGGATCAGCTGGTTTGGTGACCCGTAGGATTATTAAACATAAATCTCGTAAATTTAGGTCACTTGATATAGCCACAGTACAGGACCAGTAAAATCACTATGCCTAGGATTTGTCACATCAGTGGACGCACGGCAGCACATGTTCTCAACACACAGAGCATCAATATAACCGGAGCTGTCGACGCGCCTCCCTCAGCCAGAAACAATGATATAGATCGGTACAGGGTCGGACTGTTTTCAGCGCTAATAGACTTGTGCATTGTTCAGCATTAATTACCACAATTACACTGTAGATCAAACAGGTTATGTAAGTGGATGCGAAACAGGTTATGTAAGTGAGCGAAAAAGCTGTTCCTATACTGGTCGGATTATTGAACAACTTTGACACAAAGCCATTGCTATGTCAATTATAGAACACCTGGAATGCTTACACCAATAATGGCACAGAAACAAGTACAATGAGAAAATTTGGAAGCATCAAGAACATCAATTCCTTGAATAATTTTGAAGTTGCTGATTATTTGTTGATATAGTACACAAGTTCTTGGGGGTCAACACCTGAAAATTATAATAAAAGTCTTTTATTTGGCAGTCTTTTTGTGGTTATTTCAGGCAATAAAAACATAGGTTGTTAAAAAATTCTGAAACCAGGTATGCTTTATGAGGTTGCATATATCACTAACAACGCTTAGAATTTCTGTTAGCTAATTTAGAACACCGTGGACCGACTAGCCCCACCGTAATATGACCATCATTTTTTATATCCTGCATAAAATAATGGCCCAAAAATAAAACTCGACTATCCATTAGCTGAAAAAGACGTATTCTTGTTTCATTTCAATAAAATTGGCTGTTTTTAGGAAAAACAGTCTTGAGTCAATTCTGTTCCTACCAATTTGCACTGCAGCCCCCCAAAAAAAAAAATCTGACTCAAATCTAAAACTTTATCGAGTGATCTGAAGGTTTATATTTGGTTTATATCCTTAGATTTTTGGGCAGCTAATTCCGAATCTTATCAATATTACCATAATTACAAAAAGGCGTAACCAGTATAGTCTGCCCAGTTCCAAAATGAACAGAATATCAAATAATAGCATTTTTTTTTCAATTTAAAGATCAAGCTTTACAAAAATGTTATAATTGGGCCATTATGATATAGTGTGTGAATTATACAGCAATGTTGTTTTGAGGTTGCGTCTATGGCGATCTAAATGAGTGATGCCCCGACTAGTTACTCAGCTATCAAAAGAACCCACACAAAACAAATAGAAATCAGTTTAGCTGAAAATTCAGTTTATACAGGGTGGTCCATCCATGTGTGGGCGGAATATTAATAATAAACAAAAACATTTTGGGAAGATCTATTAATGGCATGTTATACGTCACATTTGAGGGCAGATTTCTAAAATTTTGGCAATTATACAGGGTGTCCCAATCTTAACCTACATATCAAAGTTGTGATTTTTTAAATGGAATGCCTCCAATTTTATTGCATATTTCGATAAACCAATTCAAAAGAAGATTTACATAACATTATATGGGGTTTTGGTAATTAGCTACTGGTTGAATCCGAACTTGCACATATATACAGGGTGATGCATTTGAAAATTTTGAGAAAAACTACAATTTGCGTTTTTGACCAACCTGTATGAGCAAAAATTAAAATTCGAAAAAGTAACAAATACGATAAAAGCTGATGTGTGTAAGTTTTTTTTGATACAAAATTCAGCACTCCAAATTTCAAAATGGCGGATTGTGGGGTTGCCGAAGCGGACGATTTTTCTAGACAAAACACCTCACATCTCAGTAACTAATTACCAAAACCCCATAGTATGTAATATCAATCTTCTTCTTTTGAATTGGTTTATCCAAATATGCAATAAAATCTGAGGCATTTCATTTGAAAAATCACAACTTTGATATGTAGGTCGAAATTGGGACACCCGATATAACGGACAATATTTTAGAAATGTGTCCTCAAACGTCATGTATAACATCCCATAAATAGATTTTCCCAAAATGTATTTGTTTATGAGTAATAGTCCGTCCCTACATGGATGGGCCACCCTGTATATATATATATATATATATATATATATATATATATATATATATATATATATATATATATGAGCAGTAGTCATTGCCTGATGAAGGCTCCATAGAGAATGCCGAAAGCTTGATTGTATCGTCGAAAGAGTCAACTTAAGCCTAAAAGTTTTGTCAATTTCCCAATTAACAAGTAATTGTATTTTGTATATATACAGGGTGACTTCGAAGTTGAGTCATTTATTTTAACAGTGAGTAGATCTGATCGAAAGAAATGTTTTTTCCAACATTTTTCTGGTAAAATTAAAGTAACAAAGTTGTAGCCCTTTAGAATTTTGAGTACCGCCCTGTCTCAATAACAATATTATGTGCTCGTGTTTGGCGACAACGGATATAATCCGCATCGGTTCATCGCATCGGAAACAAAAAAGCGAAAGAATTTGAAACGCTTATCACGATGTTTTTAGTTGGATTCAGTCGGTAACGCGTGAGTGTTTGTTAGTGTGTTTGTTGCGTGGCTCAAACGAAATAAAAAATGGCACATGTTTACGAAAATGCTGAACTTGTGGACATGATTCTTATTTACGGGGGGGGAGTCTTTACAAAATCGGTTTCCCAATCGAGTGCAACCACCAACCCCTCGTGCCTTTGTTAATGTAGTACAAAGGGCTCGTGAATCAGGTGACTTAAGACCTCACAGGGGATGCCAGTGCTCCAAGACCGCACGATCAAATACAGGTCCGCACTGAAATACTTGTCGGGAGGATACTTTATAAAACAAGGAACATTTTTTTTTTATTTTTACACACATATTTTGGTTTATCTTCCCTCTACAATCACTATCTGAAAATTAATGACTCAACTTCAAAGTCACCCTGTATATATAGGTATATATATATACATATAACTTGAGACGTGGTCATTGTCGTCTAGACCAGTTAGGTGAAAAATTAAAGCTTCCGCCTTTTGTTGGGTACTTCGACAAAATTATATATATACATGTATATATATCTTTTTCGTGACTGTAAACTGGTGGGCTTGTACAACTTCTGATAATTCCTGGGCAGAAATTTATTATGAAACCATTCCAGGACTGTTATTATCCTGGCTATACGTCATAACAAACAATTTCCTAAGCGATTCACCATTTTTCCAGCGGCGCATCGCGGAACATTACCATTCTTTATGCGGCAGTCAACGACCCAGTCTAGCGGCCTTCCTGGCTGAAGTACCTGCCCCCAAGGCGGTGGCCGAGAAGTTTTACATGCTCAGCGACGGCAAGGTCACGTTGACCGCCGCCCTAGACAAGGCTATCTATGCTCACGGCGAAGATATCAAGGTTACCGTGAACATCAAGAATGGGAGCAGTAAGACTGTGAAAAGGATAAAGGTAAGGGCATGATATTGTGTACAGGAACTGATCAATATACCCCACCAGAGGATAGCCAATTTAATCAGAAGTCGTGGAACTATACCGGGTGACAATGAAAACTGAATTTTTTTGGCAAATAAAGATATCGCTCCAAGATTGGGACATATTTAGTTAGTCATTGAGGCATTTCTGGAAAGTTTAACGGATTATCTCTCACAACAGCAGAGAAGTTACAAGATATCAGCCTAAAATTTCTTACAGTTCAAAAAACATAATTTCACAATAGGAGAGCGCTGGCGCTGACAATAGAAATCTAGACATATGCCAGCATTTCTGAAGAAGAGAAAATACTATGAAAATCAATGAGGCCATTAAGGCGTCCTACAATTGTAGGAATGATCAACGGCACGGCTCTTAGCGAATTTTTTTTCTCGAAAACTAAGCAAGATAAGAAAAAATTCAAAAGACAAAAAAATATACTAAAAATTGCATAAAGGTCAGTGATGTACATTTTTTGTCACAAATATTCATTCAGATTCCGCTCGAGTCGCCACTGGACTTAATAAATTTAATCAAGTTAGAGCTAAATCAGCTCCTTAATGTTATAGATACCACCGCCAAATTACAACAAAATTAGGTAAAGGATATTTAAGATATTTGCAAAATAACTTAATTTCAACACCCTGTATCTTGAGGACGTAGAATTTGCGGACCCATGTTTACATGAAATTTTTGAAATGCCTACTTTGTTATTGAATCGTAACATACTTTTAATAATTGAATAATTCGACCACACTGTTGATGGGTTTTGTTGTTGTGCCAATTGCGAAAAATAAGCCAATAACACCGGCCCCAACAAAGAACTACATGTTTTTTCATCTTCCATTCCATGAATCTTGAATACGCCGTTTCTTCAATGTTCCGCGATTTAGCTGGCAATAATTTTTGTGACGCTCCTTTGGCTACTTCTACTAATTCCGGTGCAGTCAAAGAAGACTCGGAATCAGACATTTTTTACTTCATATTATTAAAAGTAACTTCTAAACAACCCCTAAGTTCACAATTTATAAATCAAATTACAAAATTGAAATGACAGCTATTTGATTACTTGAAAAGTTTCCTTAGCAACGCAGGTCTAATTGTCGCAATAAGTACAACATAGCCTACTAATTTGAAAATTCAAATTTCACATCGATAATTTTCTAACTTAAATATTGTAATAATATAATTTTTCAATATTAAATCTTCGTTTTTCCCGTCACAGAATAAAATTATACACGGGAAAAAGATTTTAACTTTTGGTTTTTTGTCTACATATACAACCTCAAGCTAAAATCTAGTCCTTTTCCCTTGTATAATGAATAACTATTATTTTCGTAAAGGATCAGCGCTGAGTCGAATTTTATTCTCGAGCCTCTAAATCGATCGAACTACTAATTCATCACAAGTTATTATTACCGGACGTATACTGAAGCTTGTAATTATGTGATGATTTGAAAGAAGCTTAAATTCAGATAACAAATGTGTTTTTCCACAAGTATGCACGCTACCTCCGTGTTATTAAAGGCTTGCTGAATTAAGGTGATTCTGCAAACCATAACATTCACCGATCTTTGACACACCCCTTTATTTCGTGATTCGGCGTAATAACACGCAGCCACGGTATAGAATAAGCTTTTAATTAACACTCTGTAGTTTCTACTCTGTTTTAGTGGCCGTATTTTGCCCCAACAACAGAAAAATCTATAGTAACTGAGTTAAGTGTAAGACGGTTTCAGGTTTAATTTCCTTCTGTAAGATCTAGAATGGGCTTTAAGGTGAATGGATTATCTTTCGAGCCTTTAATCTACTGCCTGTAAAGGATGGATGTTGGGAGGGCTGTGGGATAGATCTATACCTACAGTATATTCAGATAAGAGATAGACCGGACATAAACAAGACCACGTGATCATCGAACGCTGTAACATTCGGCAGGGACGTATTAAGAGTCACGCAGTACATATTTTAGATAGTAGATGCTGCTTTGCGTAACTTTGTAGTAAATTAGCACAATTCGATGTGTATACGATTGGTGATCGATATAGGATCATGTGGGGGTGGGGTAAGAAATATATAATGATGTAAATATACATAAGGGTTTCAAAATTTTCGCTTCGATTTCCAGCTTCGGATGCCGCCTGATGTTTGGTGAAATACAGTCGAATATAATCTCAAAATGGCGTTTAAATTAGCCTAAATTAAAAATAATCGTATATCTCTTAAAATTGCTTTTAGAATATTGATTAGTATATTTTTTGATTTCTAGGTAAATATGTAACCAAATTAAAACGTTCAAAACGTAAAAAAATGTGCATGGTTGAACATTGTCAGAAAGTAGATTCTTGAATAGGTTTTGCCAAAATGGGTTCAAAAATGTCAATAATTAATTAAAAAATACAGTAGCTTTATAATTACTTATAACTTACCGAATTTGATGAACGACATCTTTTATTGGAAAGATGAGCTTGATGAGCTTTCATCATCGCTACTGCCTGAAGCACCAACGTCAATAATGAATGGCTCGACTTGTTCCTCTAAAATATTGTCCAGTTCCCACATTCTCTTTTCAACTTTGACTTTCACGTGCTTAATACAGTTTTCCCATTTTTGCGCTGTTATTAATTCTAGTGCTTCTTTGAAAAGTCCTTTGAGGTCACAAAATTTAAAAGTAGTATTGTGCTTAGCTATATAATTTTTAACCTCTGCCCATATGAGCTCAATGGGATTGAGCTCGCAATGGTATGGAGGTAAACGGAGCACAGTTTTATTTTGACTTGCTGCCATTTCGTCAATGGCGTATTTTTGATATTCCGCCTTGTGATCCTTGACAATTCTTAATAATTGTACTTTCAGCATTGCTTCTTCAAAGTTGATATTTTTCGAGCGGAGCCAATTTTGAACATCAACTTTCATTGAAGCCGTTGTTGGGACCTTCTCCATTCTTCGAGAATGATAAGGCGCATTATCCAACACAATTACTGCGTTTTCCTCTAAGTTCGGTAAAATTTTTGAAAACCACTGTTCAAACGATTCGCCATTCATTTCCTCGTGGTACTAACTGGTGTAGATTTATTTCAATAAGCGAACCTTTTTCAAATGTTTTCATCACATTCAGCGAAAAAACATTGAGACATGAGTATCAGATTGCTATAATTTTGATTATTTAGTCATATTGAAAGAAAGAATATTGAACGTCGTATGATTACTCAGCGCTTCACAATTTAATTTAAAGTTATAAACCTTTAAAAAATGAATGATCAGGAACCTGAAATACGCGCAAATATTAATATTAACAAATTATAACTTTATAAAGCTTAAAGTATGCATTAAAATGATTAGAAATATTAGGAACGGTACACAATATTAGTAGTAGTAACTTTTTTTAAGTTTATAATATTCGACATATTTTAAGATTATATTAAAAAATTATTGAAATATCGAAAACACATAAAAACATGGCTTAAAAAAGTTCTAACAAATGAAAATGACAATAAAACATCCACGCATTTTATCGAAAGTTATAAAAGTTTTGTTACCTGTAATATGTTTTATCTGCCCCCTGGAATTAATGTTTAGAACCTTGTTCCCAAGGTTTGAAAAACATCCGATTGTTGTCTATTACTCGTATTTACCTGCTGGATTTTTTAATCCGGTGGACAGTCCATCTAGAAAGGCCCTCCTGGATGAAGTTACAGAATCATCAACCCATACTTTACTTGTAGTGTGTCCTGCGTTTACCCACGTTTCATCATAGCACAATTTCTTCTCTATCCAGTAGTAAACTATTACGACCCCGTTTTTTCCATTTGAAATTTAAATGCTTCAGTAACGCATGGAAAGTTGATCGTTTGAAATTTGGCAACGTTGTATCTCCATTTACCTCCTGCAGTACTTTATCTATAGTAGGTATTTCATTCCTAAAGAAGAATTCATGCACTTTCCTCCTAATCGCATGCTTATCAGCTTCATCCAATGATTTAACAATACTTTTGCGATGTTTACTGGTCATTGGCTCAGAAAAGGTGTGATTTTTTTTGTATTGTCTTAACACATTAAACACTGATGCGCGACACACCCCAACTTTGTGAGAAACCGTCACAACAATTTCTTTGATGGTTGATGCCTCGTTCTCCTCGCGCTCGATCTTATATATATTCAAAATGACCTCTTTCATTTCTGCACTCAGGTGTCTTTTTTTAGAGCGTTTCCTAGGTGGACTACAGGAGTTTACAACTTCATCGGCAGTATCTGTACTACTGGGCATTTTGCGCAAGCAGTTGATAACAATAACAATCAATAACAAGGTATAACAATAACAACGACAAACTCAACAACTTAATAAGATAACAAGCGAAAACGTCCAAAGAAATATCAAATTGCAATGATGCACACGACATACGTAACACGTCTGAACCGGAATGTGACTCTGCCTTGATACGACTGCTCTGCCGCTCGGCATAGGCATTTAATTGCGAATTGACCAATGAGGGCTCCTGTTTTACGTCGAGACGGCGGCGTTAGCGTGAAATCACCCGAACCTTTTGTTTACATCCGGTCTATCTCTTATCTGAATATACTGTAGGGCTAGAAATAGAAGCATATCAACCTCGTTGGAAAGAGCAATGGCATAGCCATCATATGGTCACTAGAAATTAAATTCTTAACTACATAAGAACCTATAGACAAATATACAGGATGACTTAGAAAATCGTGATAATATTTTTGGGAAAGAAAGTAGGTTGACAAAACACTGTCTCCGTAGATCTGCTGAAGTTTAACAAGAGTTTTTCGTTGCACTATGTTCCAGGCTGTGGCTCACACATTTTTAGAACTCAACATAAAAACCGGTTTACAAAAAAAATCGCTACGGACAACCGAATGACTCGAGCGAGTTCAAACTTGTACTGAAGTAGGATCGCATGTTCCCCTATCTCCGCTCCAAGCCCGGTGCCTCCAGAATTGTCAGATCGAATGCTGCG